GTTTTATTGCACTCAGACAACGCAATGAGATTTCAGGGCTTTTAATGCACTGGATTAAGGCACCGATGGAGTGTCACTAGGTCAAAGACTTCACCACATTATTCAACGTTAACTCATTTCCCCGGTGCTGAACAGGGATACCATAAGCAAATGGGAACATATCTAATGGTTTTATTGCCCATCTCAACACAGATAGGCATAGGGTGGGAAATGACGCGCTTTGTGCGTAAATCAACACAATCAATTTGGTTTATCAATCAATATATCATTTCAATGATCGGTAGATTACGGTTTCACACGTATAACGATGCTTATCAACTTTAGGTTTCTATAACTGACCGGAATGGGTTGAACAACCAGCAAAGGAATATCCTATAGTGTCTGAATCAACTCAGATTACTATGGCTTAACTGGATTATCAGCACTAGCCATGCAACAAAGACGAAAAGTAAGCAGAGCGAATGGTAACCTCCAGGTCGGGCAAACAGATGAAGAAATCGGAAAATCGCAGACGAAAAATTAGTCTGATGCGCTTTGTCGGTCACTACAAAGCTGGACTGCGAAATGAAAGCACAGTAATCGAGGAGAACAGTTGAACTCTAACAGAATGCAAACCGCACATAGATCTTAATCTAATGCAACAAAGACGTTTGACACCAACTGGACTTTGATGACCGTGCATGTGGGTGAAAGAACAGATGCAAGAAATTTGTGACAGCGTATTTATTGAGTTGAATTCAGGTTACAAATTACCACAAGCACAAACTCAAAATTGGCCACTATGTATAGTTTGGGCAGATGTTCATTCAATTAGATATATTAAATAAAATGATACTAACCAGATCCACTCCTATGCAACGTGCATGGGAAATAAGACGAAACTGAAACGGTACACATCTCCGCACACTTATTTCTTTTTTTCCTTTTTCCTTCCTTTTGTAATATAATATAATATAATAATAATAATAATAATAATGATATAATATAATAAACAATGATACAATTTTCAGAAAGGGGAAGCGGTCAATCAAAGGACTGCCATACAACACACAGATGGGGAAAGTCAAGATGGAATAGATATGTAGACTGATCGAAATGAGAAACTAAAAGCACTACGGTTTACCCACTAAGCTATGATTGCATGATGTACACTAAAATGAGGATCACATGAAACGACGATGAACAGACAGGTGTTTGCGGAAGTGCAATTAGCTTTACGTCTTCAAACTGAAACAAAACATATACGACACGGGGCCAACAAGTTGTGCAGGTATTGTATCGCCTTAGGCTGTCAGTTCGCCAAAAAAGAATAGATCATCCAACGTCAGTGCACAAATAAGCAGGTCAAATTGCACTCACAAAAACGACAGATCAATAATCTGCTAAGGTGACTCACGGGACAATTAAGGAACAAGGTTATCGGAAGAGCGTGAAGAAGACACGGTCCATTTCTCAATTGGCTGATGCAGTGATTCAAGATAACCCAAACCAATCAATCTCACTAAGAAATGATATATTGATACGTGTGTTCACACCAACAGTTCCAGTTTCAAGAGCAGAAAACAAAGATCTGTAACAAGCGCCAATGTTCAACGTAACGATCTTAGTCAAAATAAAAAATGGCTATATATGTATATAATGTTGGCAAAGTACTGAAAATCGGTCCTCGTAGCTCAGGTGAACTGAGTTCTATTTTGCCTGTTCGCCGAGCTTGGCAATTTGTTTGCAAATGTATCATCACCAGTCGCGGTGACACCGTCAGTGCCACTTCACAAGTACTGACAATATCAACTCGGCTGGTGATGTAACTTTTGCAAACAAACTGCCAAGCTCGGCGAACAGGTGGAGTGGAATATGTGTATAATGTTCAGTTGTTCGCTAAGTTTTACATATCCCATTTTTATTGGGGGGAAAAACATCCTCAAGGACTGACAATTGTTAGCCATTTCCCTTATTCTCAAAAACACTAATCGCAATCCGCAAATGACTCCTTCTAAAACGTTCTCGTTTTTCACGATGTCTTTCGACTACTTCCAGGATGGCATTACCCAACGAAAAAGGAGAAACAGGTTCCTGCCAATTTAGCACCAACTCCTTTGAGGGTGCAAAGGATATACCATAAAGAGTAGCCTCAATTGTCAAGTGATGCAGCGTGTTTGGAATCGCCGGTGCGTTTTCAGTGAGTAAGAAGATGTTATCGGCATACCGTAAGTCAGTCTCCAGGAACAAGCTCGATGCCAGCGCTCGTTGCGGCTGTTTGNTAGTAACCCTGTTATACCTCACCGATGAGAGCAAACAAGGTTAAAAGTTTACCATAGGCCTTAACCTTCCCCGAGGCCTGACGACAGATAGCTTCTTTTATTACACAAAGTGAATTACAGTAAACGGGGAGATCCCTATGAGCAAATAGCATACTGTAAATAGGAGAGTAAAGAAAACATTTACGTAAGATCCAATTTATTGATTTTGCTTTTAAAAAGTGTGAGATTGTAAGTTGGGGGGAAAAATAGCAAGTGGGAGGGTGTTCCACAGTTTAGCAGTTCTGGAGAAAAAAAAGGAGATTGGAGTAGAGAGGTACGACATCTGGGAACAGAAACCTGATAAGGATGACTAGATGCCTGTGTACG